CTCTCTCTCTCTCTCTCTCTCTCTCTCTCTCCCCACCTCCTCCACCTTAAAAAAAATCAAAATCGTAAGATGTATTCGGGGTCGTTATCAAGATATGTGGAATTGCATTCGAAAAAAGCTTGACATATTGTGATACTCAAATTTTTTTTCACGTCAAATTTCTCCAAACTAATATGTGAACTGATAGAAACTTAGACATTTTGAGGCAGCTCTTTGTCTTCTATCCCAAATTGTTTGTTATACTTACGGTCCCTCGTTGGGTTTTTTCAGTGACATCACACTTGATCGTTATCAATTCCATATATACATATATTTGTAGTGAGGCATCGTGGTGAAATCAGATCCTCGTCAAAATAAAGAAATAGAAGAAAAAGGTATTTTTCCACCAGTTCGGCAATTTTTATCGAAATTTCGGTTTTTGGCTAAAAGCCTTTTTTAAATAATGAAAAACACATAACCTTGTGAATTTTTCTGAAAAATCTTGTTTAGGGGCACAAAATATTATTTTATTTTCAGTTTTCAAGGACTCTTAAGCTATTGAAGTTACCAAAACTTTGGCGGCCATTTTCTCCTTAATTTAACCACTGAAACCAGGCTCTCCCACTTTCTTCAATCGCAAATTTTTCTTCTTCTACAGAAGCTAGATGGACATTTTTTCCACTGAAAATAAGTCAAATAAATTAATATTCAGGTGATATCAATAATTCCATATGCCCCAAAATTGACGAGCGCCTGATTCCACCACGTCGTGACACTTTAAAAAAAAAAAATTATTATAAGATTCGCCAAGTCTTCGATCAGCCAACAATGTTTTTTGTTCTTGTGTCTCTAGTTTATTTTCCCCTACCATCAATAATAATTGTGTGACCGTCTCTTATATCTAAATAGCCTAATTGTGTTAATAGGGGCGTTAAACCTATACCATTTCACCATTTCAATAACTGTGTAGCGTCGTTGGCCTAGTGGTTAGGCTATCAGACCCGTAATCGTGAGATTGCGGGTTCGGGGGTTCGAGCCTCAGCTCGCTTCGACGTTGTGTCCTTTAAAAAAAATCAAAATCATAAGATGTATTCGGGGTCGTTATCAAGATATGTGGAATTGCATTCGAAAAAAGCTTGACATATTGTGATACTCAAATTTTTTTTCACGTCAAATTTCTCAAAACTAATATGTGAACTGATAAAAACTTTCACCATTTCAATAACTGTGTACCTGAATTTCTCACTTTTCTCAGTCCTTTCGGAGACGGACGTTTAACTCGGAGGTCACGCTTGTTTAATAGCCTAATTAGTCTTAATTGTTGGCCCTGACATGCGGAGTCGCAGCAAACTAACAGTCGTAATTGTGTAGATGGGGGCGTAAAATACACTTATAATTATAAATTAGACTTGTGAGGCATCGTGGTGAAATCAGGCGTTTGTCGAAATAATGAATTCAAAGAAACCGGTATTTTTCCACCGGTTTTGGGAATTTTTTTCGACTTTTTAAAGATATTTTGGGTCCTTTTAAAACATATTTCTGTGTAGATTTTACTGGAAAACGTTAATTAAAGACACAAAAAGTATGAATTTTCAGCTTCCAAGGACTCTCTAACTATGACAATCGGTATACTTTAGCAGCCATTTTCTTGCTAATTTTACGTCTAAAAGCAGACAACCCCACCACCTTCAATCCCAGATATCTCGACTTCTATTCAACACAGATGGATATTGTTCTCGTCAAAAGCGAGACAAATTAATATGAAAAGGCTATAAGATGATACAAATTTTTTTATAAATGGTGCAACTCAAATTTTCTAAAAGTGAACCTCTCAAAAACAAAGGAAATGATTTTTGATTTTAGAAGAGAAAAACCAACAAT